GAACTTTTAGCTACTTTCATGAAACACAATCCAAACATTCAACCACTGAATTTGATGGGAGCCCCGTTGATCATAAGTCAATTAGCAGATGATACTACACTGTTTTTAAAGAACGTGTCACAGGTTCCTCTCGCACTAAATGAAATTTCACTATTTTCAAAGGCCTGTGGTTTGTACCTGAATATTAACTATTCATGATTGCAAACCCAGTATCTCTGTTAACATAGCTACTAAAACTGAAATTAAATATTTGGGTATTATAATGTCAAAGAATACAAATAATAGAGAAAATCTAAAATTTGAGCATATTACCCAGAAATCTAAAAAGATCCTAATCAGCTGGTTACAAGGAGACCTCTCCATCTTTGGACGCGTCTTGCTTACTAAAACAGAAGGTATCACTCGACTGATTTATCCATCACAATGCTTATATGTTTCCAATAGATTAATCAATAATATAAATCAAATTAACATTAATTACATTTGGAGAAACAAGCAACATTATATTAGGAAGAGTGATGTAGTGAAGTCATTTGAAGAAGGAGGTTTGAATGCGATTGATTTTGAAGCAGTGATGGTTCCATCAAACTCAAACAGTTGCAGTCTTTCATAAATAACTCAAACAGTATTTGGTTTTATTTCCCCAAAGTAATCTTTGAGAAGCTTGGTGGCATTGAATTTCTCTTAAAGTGTGACTTTGAAATTTCCAAATTACCAATTAAATTATCCAATTTTCATAAACAGGTTCTCCAGTACTGGAAAATGATTTACAAGCTTAATTTTTCTCCACATACAAATTCGATTTGGAACAACAGATGTTTATTGATAGAAAGAAAATCCATCTTTTATAAGGATTGGATGGATCATGGAATCTGGACGGTTTTACAGCTTTTAGACAATGACTTAAATGTGTTAACATATAACAAATTCATAGATAATTATGGCTTATCATGTACTCAAAGTAAATTCATTAAAGTTGTGAAGGCCATTCCCCTGCAAAGATTCAGATGGCTAAAGCCAGTTTAACCTGTTCTTCTTCTATAATTCGTGAACTGTCCTTAATTATTGATGATCGCTGATTTAAAGGAAAGACACGCAATAATAAATTTTTAAGGACAATTCTCACCAAACAACTTTTCCCTTCTCAATTAAAAAGA